TTTGTACATCTTTGCATTTCATCTCCCAGGTGGTAAAATACAAGTCTGTGGTATTAATAACTAAAGCTCTGTGATGGAGAGAGGATGTAAATTCAGTCTTCCTATAACAATGTCTTATTGCTTTAATTTCTTTAATTAAATCACTGCTTTAATATATAATTGGATCTCTTACTTTCTCATCTCCTGTGAGATAATTATTGAGAACAACTCTTTCCTGCTATGTGAAGACCAGGAAGTGTTCTGTCTCTATAACTGTGGATGTAACCACAGCATTTCAGGCAACAGTATCAAGATTCAAGATTCCTAGTTTTTATACACATTGTGGTCTGGGGGCTTAGGGTTTTGTTGGTTGGGTTTTTTTTTTGTATTTCAAAAGACAAACTCCCAAATGCAATAGAAAATGCTTTTCAGTGTAGAGAGACACATTCAGATTCATATAATGCATCTTTATGGTCAGTTGGTAAACACAAACATGTCTCTGTTCAGAACAGATACTTGTTATTGGTATGCTTTTTTCAGGCAGACCTGTACACCCTTTTTAAGTTCTACAGATATTGTGCAGAAAAGGGGAGTTACCACAGCATTGCAAGCTGTCCTTTTTACCCAGCAAGATGAACGGCTTCATAATGTTTTTCAGTTCAGTTTGTTTCAAGTACACCCAAGTACTAATAAGGAAATCCTCTGCAGTGAAATAGCAGGTGGCATTTGTCCATTGCTCATAGTCCAACAGGGAGTTATCACAGGATTGTGTATTTAGCGTATTTCATCCAGTGCTGCAGTATGGCATTACTCATGTACCTAATATACACTGGAGATGAGCGATCATGTCTATTATAAGGATAGTATGCTACCCTTTTAATTGGATTATTTTTTGATATTACACTGAATTTAAAACAGGGCTGGGTTCTAATTTGATAGTTCAGCTTAAAATTTCAGAAATATTCACGTTAGTAGCTTTAATGTGCTTCCCAAGAACAGAGATAGAGAACTCTAAGGGTCATGTGTCTTAAAAATTTTTCCTTTATTTCATAGTATCCATAATATATTGGGGCTTCTTATGGGATTTTAATGAAAACAAACCCTGATACAATCTAACTACATGGCTTTGTTAAAACAACATGCGTATGCAGTATATTAGAATGGGATTATATGTTAACGCATGTGGAGAACCTGAGTTCCTTACACAAGTTAATGTAACTCAGGCATGCTCAGGTATCCATAAGGGACTCAGCTTTTCTATCCCTTGACATGTTTGTGGTTAAACCTGTAACTTTCTGTCAGTTCTCTGTGTGGGTATATCTTAGGCTAACTAGTGTATGTCTTCTTAATATAGCACATTCAGTGTGGGATTTTTCTCCCTAGTACACATGCTTCTTCAAGCCATGGAGTTCTAAAAAAGAGCTGTTAAATTGTATTAAAACTGGTGATTGCTACAGCCATATAAGAAATATTAACAAGAACTAGGGATACTTCATGTGCAAGGTAATAAAACGGAATGAAGAAATCAGTACTTTATCCCTAATGCTATGCCTGGGTCAGTGCAGGGGTCATGTTGAATTCAAGATTCACACATTGTGGTTTTTTGGTTAACATAGTCCTGTGTGACAATATAAGCTGGTATGATAACTCTACCATGATACAGCATGGTGCAGTTAGGACTTGTTTGTTATGTTTATTTGATATTCAAGCAATGTGTGCAATAGCTACTTGATCCTCTTGGAGCGCTGCCTATTAAAATTGTCTCAATAAGTTCAACTCTTTCATTAATATGCCGTTTAACTGATTTCAGTATTTGGGCTATAAATTCATTTTATTGCTAAAGATTCTTGGCTTTGCACTGAAGCTTATTCTACTACAAATGCATGCCATAGAGTGCTTACTTATGTTCATCTTAAAGCTATTACACTGTACTTCCAGAATCTTTTGTGAAGGGAATACACACAAAATTATTGATACTGAAATGGAGTGAAGTTTGTATTACTTGATGTGCCCTGTGATTTAAAACATAAAATGGAGAGCAACATTTAAGGGGTGGTTTTCTGGAACATGAGAGATTCAGAGGTCAGCTGTGTTGTGCTGTGGCAACTGAGACAAGACTTGTAACTCCTTTGGGTAAAAGATGCTCACAAAGAGCAGGGATTAATTTAATGAGCACCTTATGCTCCCTGCACAATATCCACTGCAATCTTTGCTTCTAATCCACTTATTATGGGCAAAGAAATTTATCTGGTAGCTCAATTTACTGGATTTTTTTTTTTCTTGCTGTGACGTCCCATCCCACCCCCCTTGTACAATGGCAGCTGCCCTTGAAACTCTTAAAAAATTTAAAACCTTAGTCTTGCCTGCAGCGGTTGACATTCATAATTTCTGTATGAAATGACTCGTCTTGCATAGCAGCTGAGACAAACTTAGAGAACATTAGTATAATATTTGCAAACTTCTAGATAACCAGGACAGTACCGTATGCATGTTGTTGGCCGGATTTGTGTGCCTGTGTTGCTTTTCAGTAAGTAGAAGATTTAAAATAAAGATGGGGTGATCCTTTGTTTAGCACAATGAAGTGTAAGGTAGATGAAGGCATCTACTTTGTGGAGGCTGCCCCAGATGCATTCAGTATGTAATTGCTTTTCTTACAGTTTACCTGTTTTTTTCATCCCTTTTGGTGTGTACATCACGGCTGGTACTGGTTTGCTCCTCATGAGTGTTCCGTGATTCAATTATATAACCAAAGAGGTTGTCTCTACATAAGATATGAGCATGTTAACGTTAACTACCTGAATAGCCAAATAGCCTTGCTTTGGACACTTGTCCTCATCACTGTGTTGCCCGTGATACCTCTCTGTTTTGGACCCACTTTGAATGTAGTAGTTAGACGTTCACATGTAATTGTCTTTGTGTAACTTCTACAGTAACAGGGTGTCCTGTCTTCTTCAAATTCACTTTAATCCTGTAGCCTTGCTTCTACTTCATATTGTGTAATTTGCATCCGGCCATCTGTACCCCAGAATCATGAGTACAGATTCAGGTTACCACATCCGTAGACCACGGTCACTTACCCTTCTCTTGTAGAAATCTGTATTCCAAATCTAAACATCGTTTGTCTTGATTTACCCTGTGCTCACTATAGGGGATGGATGGTACCTCTTAGTTTCTTGCTTGCAAAGTGAAGACTTAGTGTCAACATAATTAGAATCAATATATAATTTTTTTTGAGAAAACCTAAAGAATATATGCATTTGTATCTACAGAATTCTAATTAGGTTTGAAGAATCATCTGCAACATGTTCACCAGGATCTTAGGAAATATTACCCTTGGGGCAAAGAACTGGCTTTACAGATCTCATCCCTGTTTTGGGTTGGTTTTTTTTTCATCATCATCAGTTCACACTGGCTCACCCTAGAATAAGAATTCACATTAGTTTATCCAGTGAAAGAAAAAAGAATCCAACCACCCAATAAACACCACTACAGGATAAACAAATATACTCCATTATTTCAGAACTTTCTGTTTGTTGCTCACTGTGGTCTGGTCCAGAAATTTCTGTGTTCTACTCTGTCCTTTAGCGCGTTGCTGAATATCTGGACTATAACTGAGAGGCTTTGGTTATGCATAGTCCGAGGGTGAGAGAACTTATGATCCAGTTTCTGTTTCTGAATAATGACTGCATTAAAGCACAGCTGTCTTTGACTGTATAATTACCATTGTGAGAAAAAAAACGAGACAAGTTACTTCCTAAAAAATAGCAAAACTGTATTTAAATATGATTACACAAGTCGAAGATCGGCTGGAAACTAGTGAGGAAGTATAAAAAGTTTCGACACCTGTAGTTTAATTTTAAAACCGTGAAATCAAAACTTCTGGATTTTATGGTAAATATTCATTACCTTTGTTCATCGAAGAAACAGTTCTCAGAAACCATGTGCTTGACCTAGTAGATGAAATGTTGTTTTTTACTGGCTTTCATGGAATAAAATCTCTCAGCTTCAGAAGAGCTTGAAGCATGAGTACTGGGAAGGGGGGTGGGTACAGTTTTTATCTATAATTTTTTGTTAATAATTAAAAAATACCTGTGCAATGTGCAGTTTCTGTCATTTAGCTGGGCTTTTGTCAGATCATAAAATAGGAGCTCCATATCGTATCTATGTGGGGTTTTTTTTGTACTTTAAATTGCTCATCTTTTGACTTTTGGAGACTGGAAACTAAATCCTGGCTATTCAGTGTGAATGCTTATCTCTAGTTGACAGTGGAAGACAACACAGCTGGATAAATAAGGATCAAGTATTCTGTGACTCCTTTGTTTCCTAAACCTTCCTGGCCTGGTAGAAAATGCAGAACTCTGTCAAATGAAATTTCATACTTTTTTGAAGGGCATGAAGATTAATCTTGTGGTGAACCTGTGAAATGACATGAGGGAGGGCTTGCCATTTTCTAAAACAAAACTGGAAAATAGAGCAGAATGCTGTCACTGACATAGATAGTGAAATCCAAATATATGTGAATGTAATGCCTGCATCTAATGAAATTCCTATCACCTGCTATCCTCACTATGTAGTATGTCTGGGAATAGTTCTTGATTGTTGAATATGTGTTTTGAAAAATCTAAGTATAGTTTTTTGACACAAGAGTTTCTCCTCCTGACAGTCTCATTAGTTATGGAAGGTCATAATAAGTGCCAAGTACAATTTACAATATCCACTAACTACTCATGCTTTTAGTTAGAAATTCATTTCCTAATTGAAGTGAACTTAACGCTCTTTAGGTCGAAAAAGGAACAGCATGTAATCCACTAATGTGCTAATAGGTAGCTTTTCAGCTTTTGAAAATAGAGTTTATATTCACATGCATGGTGATTATAATGATGATGATAGAAAATTAGTAACCATATATATACATGTATTTATGTGTATGACTTCATTGTATATACCTGTCTCAGGATCAAGCTAGAGGTACTTGGTACTATTAGTCAAAACTGAATTTTTCTGTACATTTTGTTTTATAGAAAAAACGAAAACAGAGTACTCAAGATGAAGATACAATCAGTATCTGCAGCCTCGATACAAGTGTGAGTAATTTCATTTTCCTTTTTTGCTTTCCCATTCCACTCTCTTCAATTCAAGTCTGGTCAAATTCTGGTGTATCTTGACGAATGGCCAGTTTATTTAAATGGACAATTTATGGAAATACTGTAAATACTTATAATTTATATAAATACTGTAACTGTCAGGGTGACTTCCTTTAAGAGAGAAGATGCGTTTGGTTTTGAAAGTAGCCTGGCATGTGAACAACACCCTCAGGTTTCTTAGCTTTAGGTAATGGTTCAAGTGTTTCCATCAAACTTGGTGCCATTGACATTAAAATGAGTTTGGCAGGAAGAATTATGCATTTTCTAATTATCTGTGTTCCTACTAATTGGATTATAATCCTCGTAGTAAAGGAGGACTATCACCTTTGTGAGCCTTCTGAACATGACAATTAAACTATTGTTTATCCTTTCACATCATATTTTGCTGATGGATAATTATGAAGACAGTGCTGAGTATGTATCTAGATTGAATACCTGCTCCTTCAGTCTCAAGTGTCTCATGTCATTCGAAAATACTGGAGTCTTCTAGCTGCACTACGGAATGTTGTAGCATGAGATAGGCAGTTGAAATCCAACCTTCTGTAGCTGAATACTTACCTGTAGAAGCATTTTATTCTGTGTGTGTGTGCTTAAAAAGTGCAAGAAAAATGAGACATGCGAGAAGATGCTATTTATACTGGGGAGAGGTGTGCCTTTTGTCAGCTTGGGTTTTGCTCTTAGCCATATTTGGCATTCCAAGCAATCAGAGGTTTTCTTACAGGGCAGAGAGCTGGTTGTCTTTTCTTTTGATGTCTGAGAAGGCAAATTTCAAAAAGAAGGCAAAATTAAAAAAGAATGAGTTCATACCTCATACCATACAGAAACCAACTGTAGTGGTGTTACGCAAAATCGCCTTTCCTTATTTTGTATTGCCTTTCACTATTTGTATACAAGGTAACTTATGCCCCCAAAAACCAGAGGGAGAAACAAAAGTATCTAGAATAATCAAAAGTTATAACCATTTCCATAATAAGAAGCAGTCAAACATACTGAAACTTACATAAACTAAAATCAGATATACTGGGGGAAAAAATGGTGAGTGATAAGTTCTGTGAAATATGATCAGTGTAAGGTAATTACTTTTCTTGTTATTAAGGGCACAAAATGAAACTCTCTGTGGATTCATACCAAACCAAAAGGGCTCCTTCTTCACCTAGCATGCAGTGGCAGAATTCTGGTGCAGGGTGTTCTAGGTACCAGAGGTTAGCAGGAGTTCAAAAAGCAGATTGGACCAAATCATGGAAGCAAAATCCATCAAGATTATTAGACCAAGTGAAAACCATCCATCTGAAGAAATCCTTGAACTTGAATATTTCTGAAGTCTGGGAGAGTAAACTATGCGTGTAGGTGTTTGTTACTCTGCTTTCACACACCTCCTTTGGACAGCTTTTCTATTACCATTGCTGGACATGGTGCTGGCCTGAGATCCATCCTTAGCCTGAGTGACCATCATTCTGAGATGCCTTTAATTAGCCCAATATGCTACCTTTTTTCTTCCAAGCAATGGCAGTTTTGAAATGACATAGTGAGGGCTCTGCTATTAGCTGGAGCCTTTGGATTGTGGCATGATACACAGAACTAAATGTTCACATTCCTTTGTCTACCAACTCTCTTACGTCTTTGAAAAGATGTGCCAAATTGCTTATATCTATATCCTAAATTAAAGCATTTATTTTCCAGAGAAGTGGTGAAGAATATGAAAATTGAAATGCGTGTGTTCCCTTGTATGGATTTAGATTCTAACTGGGATAATGATATGCTATTAAATTTTTTACAGATAATAAATCTCTCAAGCCTCTAATAAAATTGGTTATTTTTTTATTAAATAGCATATGTATTTAACAAATAAGCATATTAGACTTTCCTGTGCAGCATGCTTTCTGGTTTACATAATTAGGTGAATGCCTCCTGTTCCGTTCTACCAGCTCACTTAGCTGCTGCTGTAAGGAAGTGCCGTCAATCCCATGCTGCACTTGCTGCTGCCGGCTTCACAGGCAGCACCTCACAGATATGCTGCTTTTTTGGACTTGCCAGTGGAAAGATCTGGCCATATTTTACTGTCTAAAGTTTCCAGTTTGTGTAAGGGCATCTGTTCAGCACCTCTGTCCAGGAGGGGGTGGGAGATGGCAAAGAAGGAGGCTATTAACTATTTAAAGACTGGATTACTTCATACCTTGGAAAGCAACATACCTGTGTGTCTCCTGCCAGTTTACAGCATCATCTGTCTACAATCTTTTTATAAAAATAGTTTTTTGTATTTTATTTTTCTATGACTGACCACAGCCAGGCACACCTGGCTTTTCCAGGGGAGTCAGTCAAGATGACAGAATTTCCTTTCACAGGAAATGCTGGTTGGAGCTATGCTGACTCAGGACAAGGACTGGTAACCTAAGCGTGTTAACTGATCTTTGTATTTGTTTAGTGATCTGGACTGGCATTGATGCTTCAGGAGTTGATGAACTGGCTTATGAAACTGACTGGTTGCTTTTGGCTCATTTTATTGCCAGCTTCAAGAAGTGGATTTGTAAATCCCCTCAATGTCAAGTAGTTTGTGATAACTTGTGACAGATGTAGCCAGCAGAGTGTGAGGGCTGAGGGCACAAACGCACAGGGCTGCTGCAGTCTTAAGTCTGTATTTAAAGGAAAATTTAGATAATATCTGATGTGCTCTTGTTCATGTTGGTGTTGCCTGCAAGGCTTAACTTGTATTCAGTCTATACAGTTAACTCAGCCTGTAGTGCGTTTCATCCTCATGCTGTTAAAATGGTGGTATGTTCTAGATTTGCATAAGCATATTGATTTACAGACATTATATAATTAAGATGGGTTGTATAAACTTCAGATTTTATAGCTGATCCTTTAAGCTTGGAGAACTGGGACAGAGAAACTGAGCTTTAAAGGGCCAACTTTTCTGTGTTTAAAACACCTCCTTAGAGCTCTACAGTTCTCTCTATTCCTCCCCTGTGCAAACACTGTATCTCCCCTTAAATTCTGAGCTGCTTTCAAGATTTTTTTTTTTTTCTGCTGGTGTTTTCACACCTTGCTGCTTCTGCTGCTTTTGTTGTTTTGCAATACCCAGGCTTTGAAACATGGGTCTTCAGTCTGTGCAACCTTCTTTGGAGCCTGGTGTAGTGCTGGAGGTTTGTGTTCCTCAGTCATAGTCAGTTAGCCGGTCCTTTAGCTGTGTTCTGGACCTTGCTTGGGAACAGAGTATTGATGTAGCTTATGCAGGTCAAGTGCTCTTTGGCAATTTTGAGCTGTTATGTATGGCTAGTATGTCACACTAAGCAAAATGGTGATGGGCACTGTTTTCTGGAGTTTTTTATAAAGAGAACTCCGCAAGGTAGTTAAAAGCAATGTCTTTTTAATGGCCATTGCAAAAGGGGTAACTGCAAAGTAGTTGAAATCTTGTAATGGTGATAGATGATACCATGTGCCTCATGAGTCTGATCTGTAAAATCATAACTGACTCTGGAGCTATCCAAAGCAAAAAGCTGGTAAATCCTAATAGAAAGCTTGCACTTTTCTGAATAAAATTGTACTTACTTAAGCAAAATCCTGTGCGGAAGAGGAATCAGGGTGATGGTGTGCAGTTCTTCTCTGCAATCAGTTGTATGCAAAATTTGTTGTGAATTCATGGAATTGGCTTTTGTTTTCTTTTGCTGTTGAGGAGAAGGAACATAAATAACATGATGAACTAGACAAGTAAACACAAAAGAAGGTAAAATTCCATATGTAAAGCTTCAGAGTTATTTGTTGTGGTTATATAGAGCAGTTATCTTTACTGAAAACAAAACTCTTTCAAATGGTCATTTATTAGTGCATTCTGAACTGGAGAAGTCTGACTGCTTCTCTGTCTATTTGCAAGTTAATAAAATGCGCCCCAATATAAAATACAAACAAGAAGTTACCCAGACTTAACTACATTTGCATACACTAGATCAGAGTTCATTATTTTTGATTGCTTTTGGTGCTGAGTGATCATTTGTTATGTATTTGAGAGTCAATTTAACAGAAATATTTTTGACTTAATTATAAACTCAATAATATTTGATTGACAAGGTATGGCGAGCTAGCTTTAAAAAGCTTAGAGAGGATTACTTCTGTATCAGTTTGTCAGAGTTGAGATAATTAAAATATACATTTTATCTATGTCATTTTATTTCTATAAACTCTGGTCTGTGGCATGTTCAGAGTATAAAAGGTCTCCAGCTTGCCCAGTAAGATGTATACAGTAAGTCTGAATTATGCATGACTTCTTAATACTGCTCTATTGCGTAGGTGGTCAGTGCTCCATCTGGATTCAAACTTCATTATAAAGTGAGTGTTCTTAATCCATTATTAATCCATCAAATGATTGTTATAGACGAGACACTGTCTGCTGTTGGTGATATTTGTAATAGTGTAATGTCATATATCTTAAGGCTATGTTTTGTTATTCCTTTGCTATTGCTCATTAAACAAGGCCTACAAGTGCTCTATTGGAAAAATGTATAAACCTCTGGTTATGCTGCATTCTTTTTGTTTTTTTTCCACACATTCTGGAATGATCCCAGGCTTCCTGTGTGGTGTTGCAATACAATGGCTCTTTACTTACGTGAACAGCTTCTCAGAATCTGGCTGAGTGTTCCAGTAAATCTCCCAGACTAACAGCCATACTCAGCAGAAGTATAATTGTTAAAACTAACTTTCTTTATGGTTTAACTCAAACTATAACTGTGTCACTGTGACTTCAAAGCAACTATTTGTCTGCTCCAGTTTAAACTCATGTACAAGACATAACTTGAATACAGCATCCTTTCCTACAGTACAGAGAATCCACTGACCTCAGGGAAATTGTTCCCTTTTGTTTTGTTTTGGGTTTTTTTTCCCCTTTTCAGAAATTGGACATGGAAGAAAAAAGACCTTGGTTCATTAACATTTATGTCATATTCAGCACA